TCATCCACCATGGAGTAGCCAATCACGGGATTAGAAATCGATCTCACATTATGTGTGATACCAGTTTATCACATGGGTTTGGCTACCTGTGTAAGAACATTCTTTATCATAGACATACGTGACTGCCGTAGCGTTATATCGCTGTTGGGAACAGGGCCCAGCGCAAAGGTGTCGTTGCAATGCGTTTGTGTATGTTTGTGACTGGAAGGAAGGTTCCGCTAAGTTTCAGAATCTCATTGCGGTACAAAAAGTCTTTGGGTAAAATCATCCAACTGTACTTCACAAAATATCCCATCAAAGAGTCTTGGTTGACCAAACAAATAAACAAATATCCTATGACACGATAGGAATACGAAGAAGACAGACTGTGATCAACAGCATGAGCACCATCGCTAGAATAGTGATAACATGTCAACCAAGTCCAGCGAGCCTGACAACCCGATCCCGTTAGTCGCCTCATACAACGCTTTGCATGAGTGATCTTCACTGATGTAGTCAGTTTGGTCGAGGACCAGTTTCACTGTCGGTTTGAGAACGTAAAACAAAAGCACAGTTATAGATAAATAGTTCTTTTATTGAAAATATCTTTGATTTGATTACCATTCACTCATAATCACATTGTATGAATTATCAACATGAATACATATTATGTCATGACTTCCATAAACAAATTATTTTACATCGAACATAAAATATCTTTAGAACCTGCAGAAAACCTCCCAAATGACATCAATATGGACTGTAGGTCGACATTATCCTTCATGAAACAATGGCATTCCTTAAACTGACTGAGTGATGGCTTAAACATATTTTATTGTCCAAAAGACTTCGCTCACTCTCCCTGTCGTTTCTTCTTTTCTCACTGAGTGAGAGTGGTCATGGCACTTATCCCAATACTACAGCAACTGTAAGATAAGGCTTCACACATTGTACCCATGTCAAACATCAAACAAGGGCTTCAGAGTGAGCTAATGCTTAGCCTCTAGGCTACTCCACCACCCAGTATCTGAAAAGTAGACAGAAATATGTCCTCTGACATAATTTTTCACAAAATGCCAAGAAACCAACAAAATATAAAGATGAAGGCTTAGCATAGAATGGCATTGTGTAATCTTAGCATAGAAGTCCAGAATTCTCCCCAGAGTTTGAAAAACATTACCTATAATTTTGTAAAGAAACAAAATACATTGTATATACATTGCTACATTTGACAAATATTTTCATACTTTTCTTCTCAAGAAAAATTAAATGTGAAGCTGAAGTTTTCACATGGACATATATGCATAAACAATATTTCAACTATCTTAAGATGTCTTCACTAAAGCAGATCCATAAAGGACAGTTTGGACCCTTTTGGTGACCACATGATGTGCGAAATTGAAAGAAACCAGCTATATTAAAGATAAACGAAAATTGTCCAGTATGTTCTTGTGGATAATAATTTGCTCTTTTCACCAGCAAGTTCTGTACTTTAGCAAATCATTTACACCAACTCTGTAACTTTTCTAGATTGTACTGGAAACAAAATTTTAAGATGACTTTATTCCGAATTTTTTGGTACTGCATGATCAAGTTGGTATTTATACAGCCTTTCGGTAATATTTCCGCAATAAATGGGTTCCAACCCAGGCCTTTAGTGTGACCAGCGAATGCAATAATCACTTGGCTACCCTACAGCCCTGTACACATGAACTGATGAAGCCGTAAAACTAAAACGTGGCTGTGCGCTTTACAGAAATGTCTTAAAACTTATCTAATGCAAAACATAAAAAATTTACCTTATGCACAAAACTATTTTGTTTCATAAAATCAATATTCTTTGGTTGACTCCATGTGCCATTTCAAAGAAAAATTGATTCACACGATTAACAGAAATTGGTTAAAATGTAAATGTTACATCAGAAAAAAACATCAACATGAAAGACTATATTATGAACACAATTTTATGCAAATATATTCATGACTTCATAGTGACTTGCATTAATATTTGTGCCTGATTCTGACAAAGAAAGGAAGGAGTTTGACTATTGTTATATGCTGCACTGGAATTTTTATACAATCTCTATGCACTGGGAATCAAACCCTGGTCTGCTGCATGAAACATACACCTTATCCACTAGGCTACCCCACCACCCTTCAAGCATAAAACCTAACACTATTCTGCAGAAAAAACTTGCTGTATCTAAATAGATCTAAGTTTTCTGTTTTAATCGAACATATTTCCTTTATTACTCAACTTGTTAGTCTCTATTCATTTGTAATATATATATAAAACAACCAAGATTGAATAATGCACTTATTTTGTAAATTATTCAATATAGTGAGACTTGATAGAGATTATAGAATTTAGTCCTACAGAATTTGTGAATGAAAGCTGGAAGCACTATTCACGCTATACAGCAGTCTGTACATAATCACATGTGAACCAGACTATCCAGTGATTGACATCATGAGCATTTATGCAGTTGGGTTTTGGCCATTACAGATTGTCATGTGATCACATTTCATATAGAAGGAAAATGGTTTTATGCAGCTTTTTACAATATTTAAGCAATATCATGGTAGGGGAAACAAAAAAAGGGCTTCACACATTGTACTCGTGATTAATCCTGGCTGATGACAACAAACAATTTAACCACTTGGCTACCCCAACCGCCCAAACCCTGTTTTCCAAGCAATATTAAAACACTTTCTCCACAAGGGATACAAGAAATATGGTACCATATGATGAACTAAATGAGAATGATGAATTGAACCTTAGGTTTTTCCTTTTAATACTTTTCCAGAAAATAATGTCTTGGGTTGTAAAGTTTCGATCTACTAGAACTACGTAATATTATGGCCTACAAAATATATCAATGCTCATAATATGCTATGGAAACACACTGACACATCTACACTACAAGTGTTAATCTTTTGAAGCAAGTTGTGCGCTCCTATACATCACTACTCTAGCTTAAATAAGAAGTCACCTAGCACAATGTGTACACATATATACATGGAGTTTTATAATTGTCGTTGTCTTTTCATGTTAGTTCTGTGGTTCATAAAAAATGAACAGAAGCTAAACTACACCAAGAATTATGTTGAACTAAATTTATGATTATACTGAGGATTATTATGACAGGTTTACCTTGACTAAGGTTACATATTCTCTGGTTACAGGTAATTTATTATACATGTATTATTATGTTTATTATGATGTTTATTAGTGTCAGTTTGATGTTACTCATTTAAAACCTTCTCATCTGCAATTACTGAATGTCTAGAGTTCTCTCCCTTATATAGCTGGAGTTACCTCCCATGGTAAGCTTCATCCCAGCAGGTGGCGTTACCCTCCAGTATTACTGCTCCCACCAGTGTGACTGGCCATTGTAAGAACACTGAAAAAGTTCCTTCAACCCCAAATATATTTTATGTATGTCTTTGGGAATGACATCACAGAAAAGGGAAATATTTTATGACTGACTTCCTGTTCCCCAGAGGTACGTTTGTTTATTTGTTTAATCGGATTGGTTTAAGATTGAAACTAACAGAAAAATGTCCAAATTCTATCATGTTTTCTGACTGAAAAAATAACATGATAGCTGAATAAAAATACAAATTCAAACAGGCAAAAAAGACATTTCAGCTGGGTGAATCGTATTTGGAGTTGTGACAGGCATATTTATCTGAAAACAACAGTCAGTTGGGAGTTAAACTCAACACATTGTTGTAGGCCACATCACACAGTAGGGAGTTGTCAGTAACCTGCTTTCCATGGTTTCTGAATATTATGTATGGTCAAAATGTATCAATTTTCATCAGGGACCAACTACAGTCAAATCCCGATGAGTCGAATCACTGGGGACCAAGTAATAAATTCGACTTATCGATGTATTCGAGACATAGGTATGTCCATGAGGGTAGAAAAAAGATGATCCAGTCCTAATTCCTCCGCCTAAGCATTTGTTTATCTAATGATTTCCATATCACTAATAGGGGCACCTTATCAGTTCCAGTCTGATTAGCACAGACAGTCATTTCCGTAAAATCACTAATCTGCCTTTTGAACTCAACCGTCAATGGCGGAAAGGTGTGAGCCGCGCTGGTTTGTTAATTGGATCAGTTTGCTACACCAATCAACTTCTCATTGACTGACTTGGGCTTATGTATACAAGATTGCAGTTGTTTGAATCTCATGGGACCAAATTTCCTTCTCGAGTCATCGTGTGTATTTATGAGACGAATTCGTGTAACCGGTATTCAAATGATGACAACTATAACAGGGAATGATCGGGACCGACAGCTACTTCGAGTTATGCATAATATTCGACACACCGGCATTCGACTCATCGGGATTTGCCTGTATTTCATTTTCATCAGGGACCAACTATTTCATTTTTATCGAGGGGATGTGGTAGGAGAGGGATTTGATTTGAGATCAGCATATTTCTTTTTGAATGTCATGCTCTATTAATTTTAAAACTAAAATAGTTGCTTGAATAATATTTATAAATATAAATATTGAAAGAAACTGTATCCTTTTGAATCTTGCCCATAAAAATCAAACAGTTGTTCCCTTACAGCAGATTCATACATTGCTCAAACAACCTTGCATTTATATACATATATATATATAGGTTAACATTTCTATCACAACAACAAAATTTTCAATGTACACTTTAAAGTATTCAAAAGCAGTTGGTGAATATATTGTGCTATTTGAGATACCATCAATATCATTACTGGTCCTTATTATGAACAACCGGTACAAAACGGTTGCTATGGCAGCAACTGTATGTGTTTAGATTGATGAATGAGTGAATTTAGTTTTACTCCACTTTCCAGCAATATCACATTGGGGAAACAAGAAACGGGCTTCACACATTGTGCCCGTGTTGGGAATCGAACCCGGGTCAACGGGTACAGAGTAACCCAGGTCTCAGACCTTTACCAACTGGGTGAAACCAGTGGGTGGTATAAACCAAGAAACCTAATACTCTGAAACTGGGATTTAAACCCACAGTCACACAGATGTAACCTTCTGTCGTGAGTGAGTATTGTTTTAAGCCGCTTTAAGCAATATTCCAGCAATATCATGGCGGGGGACACCATAAATGGGCTTCGTACCCATGTGGGGAATCAAACCCGGGTCTTCGGTGTTACGAGCGAACGCTTTAAGCACTTGGCCAACGTCGCCCGTAAGTTTCTTTAAGTGTAATCCCAAATATAATGTGTTACATTTGACCACTTTCTACATGGCATTGTGTATGCACATACAGATGAAATTTAGGTAATTTCAAGGGATGTAATTTTGACAACTGGGTCAATTGTGTCATTAATCTATGGGTTATGTCATATCCTGTTCTGTTTGGTAGAAACCCCTGAAAGACACAAGTCACACGTTTGCTTGTTTGTTATAAAACGCCACATTTGAGTTGACAGATCATTAGTTCATTCACATATATTACATACAATACAATAAATGACATCATTGCTTCGAAGACTTTCGTCAAGGACCTTCATGTTAAAAGAACAACTGAATGTGTAATGTCCAAAAAATAGATTGTATTGCGTGTATGTGTGTGTGTGTGTGGTCTTAAAGTTTTAATATTTAGAGTCGTTCTGCTGTTTTTTATGAAAAAAGACAAAACCCTGATGTTTTAATATCAAAATTTGATTTTCTACATACATTTTTTGCAACTGTTCCAATTCAAACATTGCGGGAGTATTGTTTCATGCCTTTATCCCACTTGTTACTACTAAAGTACCATTTAAGAAAATGTAGTGTTCTTGTTCAGAATTTAACAGCATTATGTGAGACAATTATCAAAATTAAATCTCTATAAACTTACAAAATATATGAAACTGAATCTGACTACAAACCAACCAGGCAAACCCTTCCAAAAACATCTGAACATCATTACAATATAATGTTGCCCAAATAGACAGTTCCTTGGAAGATACACACTTAAAATACCTAATCACATTAGTACAACGTGTACAACTCTTGCAACTCTCTTGTATTCAGTTTTGATACAAGCTTTCGATTTTATCACAAAGATGTATAAGTTTGGGTTTTTTGACAAAATATACAAAATTAAGTTCTGGAATACTCTACTTGGTGTTTAAGTTTTAATGACAATGTTCATTAATGTCCACAACAACTGCTCTTTTCCAGCCGAAGAAGAAATATCCAGCCCCCGCTCCAAGAATGACGGCAAGCCCCAGCCAAACGTTGTACGTCATGAAGACAAGCATGAGACAGTAGCTTACAAACACTTGCACCATGTGGAGGATCGTCTGGAGGAAGTGGCTGCCACTCAGCATCTTCCCACTGGAATAAAGAGGAGATATTACTCATTTTTCATAGGGATAGGTTCTTTGTGTGTTTGTTTGTTTTGTTTCTCTGTTTGTTTGTTGTCTAAAAGAACCTTTGAGCTACATTCCTGCTACCGGACATTATTCTGGACCAAACAATCCAGTGATTGCTATTGTGGGAATCATGTGATCCATCGAGTCAGTGAGCCTGACGAACCGATTCATTTGGTGGCATATCTGACGATCAGAGGTTGCTGGGGATCTGATGACATGTGATCCACCCAGTCAGTCAACACGATGAACAGATTCATTTGAGGGCATATCTGACCAGCAGGGGTTGCTGGGGATCTGATGACATGTGATCCACCCAGTCAGTCAACACGATGAACAGATTCATTTGAGGGCATATCTGACCAGCAGAGGTTGCTGGGGATCTGATGACATGTGATCTATCCAGTCAGTGAGCCTGACCAACCGATTCATTTGGTGGCATATCTGATGATCAGAGGTTGCTGGGGATCTGATGACATGTGATCCATCCAGTCAGTGAGCCCGACCAACCGATTCATTTGGTGGCATATCTGACCAGCAGAGGTTGCTCGGGATCTGATGACATGTGATCCATCCAGTCAGTGAGCCCGACCAACCGATTCATTTGGTGGCATATCTGATGATCAGAGGTTGCTGGGGATCTGATGACATGTGATCCATCCAGTCAGTGAGCCCGACAAACCAATTCATTTGAGGGCATCTCTGACCATCTGACCAGCAGAGGTTGCTGGGGATAGCTCCCAAACATCACCATTTCCATTTACTTTGTCTTTGTATAGTTAGGGATAACACTGTCATCATTATTGTTACCATGGTTACTAACAGCAATATTCTGTTACCATTGTCATAACCATGGTAACAGGATATTACTGTTAATTTCTGTCAGTAAAGTTCACATCTCCCGAGAGTCCTGTGCACCAGGGCCTCCTGTGGTGACGGTAACTCCCATACATCTCCCTCCACTGTTGGTACTTCATGTTTATATCGATACCCATAAGACAGTTACAGTTGGTACTTACTGGACCGTTTCCTTCGATTCCATGACCATGTTTTCTTTCGATGATCCAGCTGGGAGAGTTGTGTTGTAGTACTTGGTCCCGACATGGTTTTTCTGGATGAGGTACTCTCGGAGACACTTCAGCCCCTCGTACAGCATGGCCAGGAAAAATATCACAACACAAGCTCCGCCCATCTCTGACAAAACAGAATCGGAGATTAAATACAATGTGTATCAGTGTTGTATGTTAACAATGCAGTCCCAACTGACTCCCTGTACTGTCCCTCACAAAACAGAACTGGGAGAGTAAATACAATGTTTATAAGTGTTGTATGTTAACAGTGGATTACCAACTGACTCCCTGTACCATGTTAAAGCCTAATGTATTGATATGCTGTGGTGTCGGACAGACAATGCGGACATGAAGAGACAATTGAAGGTCAATATTTGGCTGAAGCAGGTGTGTTTATAGTGTTGCTTTGTTTATGATATTCCTTACATATCATACCTGTCCTGATACACTACACACAATACACAGATAGTTGGGGCAACAATTACAACAGGGAGTTACATTCTCACAAGTCTTGGTTGATTGGCTTGTTGTTTTACGCCGCACTCAGCAATATTCCAGCTATATACCGGCGGTCTGTAAATAATCGAGTCTGGACCAGACAATCCAGTGATCAACAGCATGAGCACTGTAGTGTTTCAGACAACTCGGCCATGTTCTTTTCTTTCCCTTTTCCCTCATATCTCTTGGTTATACTTACGTCCAGCATTGCTTATAATAATCTTCTCAAACAACACATATTCACATGTTCCTGTGTGGAAATACATCTGAAATAGAAGAGAAAGAAAAATATATATCTTTTATCTATACCAACCTGTGGACCAGGCTTTTCACACTGTCCACCCAGATAAATCATGAAACCCAAAAGCCCAGATAAATCATGAAACTCATCAGCCCAGATAAATCATGAAACTCATCAGCCCAGATAAATCATGAAACCCAACAGCCCAGATAAATCATGAAACTCAACAGCCCAGATAAATCATGATACCCAACAGCCCAGATAAATCATGAAACCCAACAGCCAGGGGGAAATGCTCCTCTGGGGAAAATTTATCAGGGGAGAAGCGAAGGGTGTGTGTGTGTGTGTGCGGGGAGTTGCACCCTCCCTCTGGATCCGCTCCTGCTGTACCCATGTGGGGAATGAAACCCAGGTCTTTGACGAGAAGAGCAAAAGCTTTAGCCACTGGGCTATCTCACCGCCCCATATTACCACAGAGCCAGGTAGTCTGGTGGGTACCCTAATTTCCCATGAATGTAACCCTGGCTTATTAGATTCAGAAGGCAGTGGGGTAACCTAGTTGTAAAAGTATTCACTCATCACGCCTAAGACCCAGGTTCGATTCCCACATGCATGCAATCTGTGAAGCCCATTTGTGGACCACTACATCATTTTGATGGAATATTGCTAAAAGTGACACAAAACCATACCGAATCACTTATTAAATTAGGACAAAGGGGTCCATTAGTGGGTCCACAACACTTTATTTCAGATCCTATAAATACCTTTCTGGTATTACAGCAATGGCATTGCAGCAACTGGCGCTGAACAGCCAACCACCGCTGTCCCAAGATCAAGTGTAGACCCACAAAACCAATACTTCACCCAAGGCGAACCATGGTCAAACTGCAGTGTACCGGTATATTACCTGAAGTGCATGTTCAGCCAGTAGTATCCTGCACCTCATCCTGAATACCTTGCCTACCGCCACAAGCATACCAGGCATTCTCTAACTAAATGACAGGCAGCTAACGAGTACATGACTCAGTGCTGTTGGCCATGATAATCAACCAAGCTGTTATCTAAATTGTGTTGACAGCAGTATGTTTGCATATTCATAAAACATCTTAAACTCATAGAACATATGAAACAAATTGAGTTTGTTTTAAAGCACATATCCTGCCAAACTGATGTTTGTTATATGGTTGGTTTAAAAAATAATTGAGTCTGGACCAAACAATCCAGTGACTGACATGAACGACAGTCGTTAATGATGTCACTGGATTGTTTGGTTCACACTTGATTATTTACAGACCCCTGCCATATAGTTGGAATATTGCTGAATGAAGGGTTGAACAACATACAAACAAATTTACTTTGTCAGATGCTGTTGTTTGCAGTTATGCTGGAGAGTCAAGATGTTGTTGTTTGCTAGTTACATGGATGATAAAACCGATGGAAGGTTAGGTTGTTTGCAACAGGGTGGAGAGTCAAGATGTTGTTGTTTGCTAGTTACATGGATGATAAAACCGATGGAAGGTTAGGTTGTTTGCAACAGGGTGGAGAGTCAAGATGTTGTTGAGTATATAAGAGTTTGTCGACTGCAGTGAGTTAGTGAGTTTAATTTTACGCCACTTTTAGCAATATTCCAGCAATATCATGGCAGGGGACACCAAAAAGGGCTTGACACATTGTACCCATGTGTGGACTCAAACCCAGGTCCTGCCGTTATAAAGCTGAAATATTACTGAATACCTATCACGAAACAATTGTATTACTGATTCTCATGTCAGTCACAAGATTGTGTGGTCCAAACTCCATTAACAGACTGACGTCATAAAGCTGGAATTTGCTGAATATAGTGTTAACAACAGAAATACTAAGTGTCTGTGAGGTGAGGTGAGGTGAAATTGGGTTTAACGTCGTTCTTGAGAATATTTCGCTCATATGACGATGTGCATGCGTGTGTATGTGTATGTGCAGCTGCTTGTACTAGACCAGACTGAAGCTGGTTTTATAGTGCTAGCCCACTGAGATACCATGCCGCAGTGAAGCATGAATACCCCACTCAGACACATTATACTGACTCCGAGCCGGCCAGTCCTTGATGCACCCATTAATGCCGAGCGCCAGGCAGGGACCAACAAGTACCATATTTTAACGTCTTTTGGTATGATGCAGTCGGGGATCGAACCCGCGACCTTCCGCACTCCGGGCAGACGCTCTTACCACTACACCACGGAGGCGGTCAAGATCCATCAGGACTTACCATCATGCCTGGCATGGAGCAGTCGGTGTCGTTCATGTTCATCATGTCGCCCATCATGTCGCCCATCATGCCTGGTTTCATGGTGGTCATATGGTTGTGGTTGTGGTGGTCGTGACTCTGGGAAACAAGAACAGAAAAACATCACTAAACAAGTTTCCATGGTTACTGGTAGGAATGCCACGATACATCGATGCAACAATACTTTTTCTTAGACGATATAATTATCGATACATTCAAAACTGTATCGATACTGTAAACGTATTATATTTCATGCAGGTTTTATTTTCGCGCTTTTCGCGCAAAACATTTTAGCGCGAAAATTTATACACCGCGAATAAACCTGTCATTCATTCAGTCTAGCTACGCTCGCCCCTGAGTTGTTACCATAACACATCAAGTTTGAAGACAGAAATCTACGGGAATCTTAAAATGACGACTGATAGTAGCATAAAGAATCATACTTAACTGTCGCTGTAATGGATTTCCCAAAACATAATTAAATAATGAGCCAAATCCCATCGCCGAATTAGCAAAAACAGCAATGTGTGTTGTGGCTGCCATGGAAATTGGTCACATGACAGATGGTTTGATATAAAACAGATTACCATGAAACGGCACGGAAAGAAATAATACAGCAGTATTTTATTTATTCATTAAGATTTTATTTACCAGTACATCATGAAGCGAATAGTCACTTAACACTCAATCATCTCATTCACAACAACCCGGCTTGTTTGAAATCACAAGAAGCTTCATATACAGTAGAAGTTAATTCGTCAGATCGTCAGAATTCGGGAACATAAGACTGATGTGTTTTTCATCTCTTCCGTGAGTAAACGGATTACTGTGTACTAGTATATCGCACAGATAGGGATTTCCTGTGAGTAAGCAATAAACGTCACCTGACAGGTTAAGCCACTCTGTTTGTTTTCACTGCTATTAGTGGCGGCCAAAGAGACAGCTGGCAGTTCCGGCAATTACTGATTGCGCGAATAATTGACCGCGTGATATAGTCTAAACTGTCAATTCCGCGAAAATTGCACCACGTGAAAATAAGTACGTTTACAGTATTTAGTTTTGAAATATTGGTTTAAATATGTTTATGTATCGTTTACATTTGCAATTGTATCATGTTTTTTGATGTTATGAGAGTTATAAATGATTATTTTTCATGCACAAAGATGGAAAATTAGAAGTTTTAATCTTTGAGAATAAAAAATGTTGATCTTTTTTATGGAAAATTATAAAATATGAAATATTAATGTTCAAAATGTAACTAAATTTATTACCCACGTGGTCAACGTATGGGTAGTTGCATACTAATCTCGTACGTCACATGAGTGTCGTATCGCGTTGACCTGTGTCGTAACGACTTGACCTGAGATTCTAACGATTTGATTGGATAACCGATTGACCTCTCAAATAGGTCAAATTCTGACGTAACTATTTTTTCATTCATAACAAACACGTGAATTCACATTCATTCTACAACTTAAATGCATTGTGGGAATGTAAACATTGCGAACGTTTGCCGTGTCGCTGTTTAATTGTGAGTCGAACTGAGACATTATATCTGTCGAAAAACATAACGCAATGTTTCCATCAGTGATCTTAGCCGAATGAAGCAACTGCAAACCAAGAAACGGGGTGCTACGTAGTAGTTTACTGTAGGAGGCTGTACGAGGCGATGGCAACTGACATGCATCGTGACGTCGGTTACCAAGGCAGTGACGTCATTACAGTGTGACGTCATGCAAATATTGTACTACAGTACAAAACTCTTCCACAACCTCTTTATGAAACCGGTTTCGGTTTGAAACCATAAAAATAACAAAAAACGCTATTTTATCAATTTAATGCATGTAAGACGTTGGTAATAAATAAAATACCACACTCGGTCTCATAACATACGAATTTTACGAAACTTGTGACCTTCCTATGGTATCTGACCTCGCTTTCACTCAGTCAGATACCATAGGAAGGACACTCGTTTCGTATAATTTGTATGTAATGAGACCTCGTGTTGTATTCTCTATTTACACAATAATGCCGCGAAAATAGGTATCGTGATACGTATTGAATCGTGACATGGGTATCGTGATATGTATCGATTCATGAAACTTACGTATTGAATGTGACATTCCTAGTTACTAGGGCTGTAACGATGCATCGAACTATCGATGGATTGCAATTGTTGAGTCTCCAATAGCAATTAATCGATGGTAGAAACAAAAAACTATCAATGCATCGATAGTATGTGTGACTATCGATAGTTTAGTATTTGACCTCTGTTGATAAATGTGCAGTGCAAAATACAGGAAGTACCAGATTCGTTCACTTTGATTTAGAGTTATCCACCCCTGTTCCTTCTTAAACAAACATGGCAGCAATTGAAATTTGAGTTTGAAATTGTGAATAACAATGCTGGAAGATCCATAGTGTGGAGACATTTTGGGTTTTTGAAGCTCAAAGAAACTGGGATTGTGGAAAGGAAACATGTTGCTTGTAGAAATGACTTCAAATGTCAGACAATTTAAGGAGAAAAAACCCAATTGCAATAGTTGGTTGCAATAGACTATTGCTATCGCAATAGTGGTTTCCCCACCAATGGTTACAGTCATTAACAGTGATGAATCTTGTGATCAATTAGGGACTGTGCCAACTGGAAAATCGTGTGCATTCGAGAGTAGGAAATTATATGGAGAATGGATGAATTGATTTATAATCAGCTCGCCAGTAAGCATGGTTACAGGTGAATACTGGATATTATTTTAATCAAAACTTTTAGCTTAAGCCAAAATATATTAAAAACAACTTGCCACAATGTACCAGTAATATTTGTAGAAGGCAATTTCCTATCTTGACATTTTTGTCATGTATTTTTCTGGTCAACATATATATTTAGATAGCATCCCAGAGTCAGTCCCCCAAAAGTACTAGAATCTGCAAACATGTTACATTTGACCATTTTCTCGATGGCATTCTGTATTCACATTTTCGACTACAACTAGTAACGAGATCATAGGGGTTATCATGGTGAGCCTTGTGGTCACTGATCATGTCTACCCAGGTACGATTCCCCACACTGGCACTTTAAATGTGTGCAACCCAATGGTTACAATCCGCCTGCCATGATATTGTTAAACCATACTAACTCACTCACTCACTTTTGGGGTCTCATCCCACAAAGCAATTACATCACACCACTACGACTGTTGTAATTTATGATCATATACTTGCTAAAAACAGGGCCCCAGTCCCCAAGTCCCCTTGACCAAGAGAGAACCAAGCTTATAAACCTGCAGTGACATCACTCTATTGTCTCACCAGGTTCACCTTTTTACCTGAGTAAGTAAACCTCTACAGGCAGTTTCTCGGACATTCTATAAAAATTCTGGGGATTTTCTATAGAATTGCCTACAGCTCGGGGATTTTCTGAAGAATAACCCTTGACTTGGAACAGTGTGCGAAATAATTTCCAAATTTTGCTAGCCAGTCGGGCTAGCTATGCCTGAAAGTTGCTAGCCCACAAAATAATTCGCTTGCCCGAAATTTGAATGTGGACATGGGTTTCATCAATTAGCTGCTAATATGATGAACAGTTTTATCAGGCCATCATCTTTCATGATTTAAAAGTGTGTTTTTAATTAACAAGTTGGAGAGAGTGATATATTTACAAAACGACTCCATGAAAATTCACTAGCCAGTTGGGCCAGGGACTGGAGATTTACTTTCCCGACTGGATTTTTATTAGCCACGGGCTAGCGGGCTAGTGGCTATTTCGCATACTGACTTGGAATTATTTTACTTGTTTTGAGGATTGATTATTATAAACTTTGTCTTGCTATGAATGAATACGATCGTAAAATATCACATTATTGAAAACTTCTAATATATTGTGCTGATGCCCGGTTTCAAACCCGCAACCCTTCGCTCTCTAGCTTGGTGGTTTTATCCACTAGGCTACGAAGGATCGCTGTGAAGTATGAGATTGTCAGTATGAACCATGTGTTCCTCACAAGACGGGTAGTGCAGGCAACGCACGTGCAGGACACGGGTAGCACATGCAAAACATGTGCACTGCGTGTGCAAAACAAGGTATCGGCTGCTAGTCGCATCCCAGTTGATTTCAACAGTAAATACCAAATATAAAAATTATATCAAAAGTCTATCTTTGGTCGGTTGTTAAGTTTGATCAAAACCTCCTCCTCGGTTTTGGCCTGTCGGCCCTCTGCAATTACCCTCTGCCGCGGGCTTATTTTTTTAAACAAAACCTCGGAGTCGGTTTTGATCCTTCACATATAACCTTATCAGTGTTAATGAAGGCAGAACACCCTCGGAAAATATTAGCCAGGAAGGGCAGGTCAGTCTACACCACACAAACAACCTTCTCCTTTGAGACTATCAGTGTGGCTGACCTCCACCCAGTCATACAGGTATCTGATTATACCTGCCCCTGTACAACAGATTCTTTTCAACTCGTATCGCAATGTATTCCCCTGACACAGTATCTCTTTAACCCTAAAGAATTTCAAGCATGTGGGTTTAAAAGATTTATGAAGTGTTGGTGCATCGCTACAACTTGTTGTTAGGATCATGGATGTTGTGGGAAATGTTTGACAATCTGAGCTCAGATTTCACATAAAAATATATCACCAAATATATTCATGATGATAGATCTATACTGAACTGAATAAGATAGGATCATGAATGCTTGGGACATTTTCGACAATATGGGATCAAATTTCACACAAAACATATCACCAAATATATTCATGATGTTACATCTATATTGAACTAAATAAGTTGGAGATCATGAATATTATTAGAATTTCATGACAGTATGTGCACAGACTTCACAACTAAAAATATCACCAAATATATTCATGGTCAATGACTTATACAAGGTTGATATGTATGGAAATGTAACATAAATTTCTTTGTTTTAAAAGACATTTAATCTTCATTTCACATTGCTTTTAGCAATAATCCATCAAAATCAAGATGGGAGACACCAGAAATGGGCTTGAACCCACATTGTCTGCATGACAGGTGAACGCTTTAACCACAAGGCTACCCCACAGTCCCAGCTGAGCAATTAAAAGTCATTCACGAAG